CATCGGAGAAGCTTATCAAAGGGGAAATCGAGCGATCGAGCAAGTGTTCAGCTACATTAAGTGCCCTGAAAGCTTCAACAAACATGATATTGAACGAAGCCCCCGTGTCTACCACGACTCGTCGTACTTCAAAGTTGGCTATGTGAGCTTCCACGATCAGTAGGTCGTTGTGAGGGTAAATGATACCTCTTTCTTCCTCAGGGTAGAAACATATTAGATCCCAGTTAGGCTTTTGATACTTGCCTCCCTTGATGTCTTCCACGTGAAACACTTGGTGGCTAGACCTTAAAGCTCGTTCACTATTTTTCATGGCCCTGTTGGAAGATTTAGATATGGGTATGCCACCACTTATGGAATATATCACATTCACCTGGCGTTGGTTACAGTTACCCCTTGGAGGGTGAATGAGGAATTGATCAATTTTTCCTTCACGTGTCAAAGCTTCAATATGATCACGAAGGGTGATACACTTCTCGTCGTCATGGCCGTTATACTCATGGTAGCAGCAAAACGTGCCCGTGTTCTTCGTGGACTTGTAATCCGGGTGCCTCAGCTTTGGCTTCGGTATCAGGTGTGCTATGCTGGGGTAAATGGCCACGCATGTGGTGTTCAAAGGTGTGTATGCCTCATACCTCGGGGTAGAGGCTGTCCTGACACGTGCTTGACCCACTGTGTTGACTGCTTGGGCTCAAGGATTATCGTGGCAATACCATTGGTTATCGCGGTAGTGTCCCTTACTCCTTTTACTAAAATGAGACTGGTGAGGATGGAAATCTTTCCTTTTGCCCTGAGATTGATATGTTTGTTGACTTGGCAAAGTATTAAGTAAGGCAGGGGGAGGCACCGTTGCCGTTTGGAAGGTTAAGGTCTTATCATTTGGTTGGATCTGGCTTCCACTCCCTACTTGCTGATAAGGGGTGGCTGTGGGGGGTTTCCTTTGATATGTCATTGCCTCGGCGAAGGCATGGTTGTAAGCCTGTGCTATCACATCAGAGTAAGTCTTCCAAGTGTTGGCATTGATCATGTACTTGAAGAAACAATCACGTAAGCCTGCCGTGAAAGCCTTGAGGGCGGTCTTATCATCTGCATCAGCGCAGCGAAAATACTCATGGCTGAAGTGACTGGCATACTCTCGTAGTGACTCGTCCGGCTTCTAGCGAATAGTGTACAAGTCATCTGCAGAATGCAAGCGACCGGTCTGGAAAATGTGTTGAGAAATAAACTGTTTCCTCAATTCCTCAAATGAGTCTACCGTCTCAGGTAGAAGACGACAATACCAGTTTAGAGCTCCGCCAAAGAGGGTGGAAGGCAAGAGAAGACATTGCTCTTCGTCGGTGTGCATCCGGTATGCCATGGTGGACTCAAAGAGGTTAAAGTGTTTAATTGGGTCCTCATTTCCAGTATAGAGTTGCAAGCCAAGCTTCTGATTTGTCTTTGCTTGGATGGGGTGTCAAGGATCTTTCTTGTAAGAGGGCCAGGCCTAGGTTAGTTCCAATCAGGTATCTCAGCTTGTCATTCGGCCTTCAACTTGTTTACTTCTTTAAGAAGCAGTAGGATAAGAGGGTCCTAAGTGGAGTCATGTACCACTAGAGCTTTCTTTTGTAATTCTCCATCTCCTCTTAGAAGTAGGAAGGTTTAATCAAGAGCATGTGATTTTTCCCTGAACTCGCCGTACTGACTTTCAAGGTATGTCTGTCGAAACATCTCTGAGTCCTCTATACCTTCGTGTTTCTCTAGGACTTGTTGCCCCGTCCCCAAATTAGTAGCCGGCCTGGGACGTGGGAGGGGACCGAGTCTTTCAGAAACCCTTGGGTCATTGATCTTCGAGCTTATGTGGAGGGGATTCTCTCGACGTTGCTTTAGGAAGTCTCGGCAGTCACGATAAATGGCTTTCGATCATTCCAACCTTTCTGCAAGGAGATATCTTCCTCCACTTCTTCTGTTTCGGGTCGAGGTAGCTGGGTTGAGAGAAATCTCATGTTGATTAATGTTTTGATGATTAGCTCGCTCCTTATCAGGGATACCCATGTCGAAGGAAGGTGACCCTCCTTGTTGGGAGGCATCCAGATGATGGTTGATGTCCACAAGGGTAACGAGTTTGCGTGTTTGAGTACGCCTAGTTTCGTGAAGCGTCTCAAAGAACTTTTCATACTGCTCCTGGAGGACCTCATTCTTCATTGCTATCTTGTTGTTTTGAGCTTCTAGCTTATCGACTTTAGCTTGAAGAGCAACCTTCTTTCCTTCCTTCTTTCGTTGCTTCGCACTAGGTGCAAGATGGGTGTCATTTTGTGTGTTGTGGCTTCCTTCGCTCCCCATGTTGGAAAGGGATGCCTGGTCAAAAGAGAGTGTACGAATGGTGGAAACCAGCTTGGCAAAGCTGAAGAGAGGGGGAATAAGTGTTGTTCCCACAGACGGCGTCAAATGTTGATGCACAAAATCAATGAGGACTTTGGTACAACAGAAAGTGTTAAGTTTGTGACCTTCGCTAGATTGCTCCGGTCATTAGTGTGGATAAGTATGTAAATGGATAGAGACAGGGAAGCAAACACAAGATGTACGTGGTTCACCCAAATTGGCTACGTCCACGGTGTAGAGGAGTTCTCATTAATTCTGAAGGGTTTACACAAGGACATAGGTTTAAACTCTCCTTTAGTGAGTACTAGCGAATGATTTAGTACAAATGACATTAGAAAATATTGTGAGAGAATGATCTCTATTTATAGAAGAGAGTTTCCAGTTTCATTTTGACATTGACACGTGCCGTGTTTTGATTGGCTTCTGATGTTGACATGTGTCGCGCTATGATTGGCTTCTGATGTCGACACGTGTCGCGCTGTGATTGGCCTCCTAGTTGGAGGGAAACTCTTCTGGGTCATTGACGGTATAACGTTGACCGGTGCTCAGTAGTTTTAGGATTGGTCAAGTATGGTATAAACAAAATACATTCGTGGGAATTCAAACTCGAGTTAGGAGGAATCCAACACCTTACTCGCTTTCCACTATGCCACCATTTGAGATTAACTAACATCGTTTTATATTTAAGCTATATTTTAAACGAAAACTAATAAAAATGGCTTGAAAACTTTGAGTTTTAACGATAATGACAAAATAAAGGGTAAAGTGAATAGTACCATGATTGATTTTTTAGTGTAAAAATATGGTTTTTTGTTAAAGTGAACAGTAATGTAAGCTTTTTATTAAAATTCCCATATTTAAATAGTCTAATATAAAGTACATGGAAAAAGAGGAAAACTAATGAAAAGAGTTTAAAAACTTTGAGTTTTAACGATAAAAACAAAATAAAGGGTAAAGTGAATAGTACCATGATTGACTTTTTAGTGTGAAATTTTGATTTTTCGTTAAGGTGAACAGTACCGGAAGCTTTTTGTTAAAGTTCCCAAAAAATGCAAACTTGAGTGTGTAGGTGGAATTAAAACATGAGTTGCGAACAAAACTTATGTTAAAAATACATAAAAGTATATGTTGTTCAATCATCACTATTTACCATATAAGAAACCAATATGACAACTCGTTCCAAGGGCTCAAAGGGTAGGGCAAAAGAGTAAGAACGAAGAAAGCAACTCTCTTTAGGGAACGATGGCACGAGTCCAACTTATGTCTTTTTCGTGAAATATGATGGATTATGGCCATTCAAGGTTGTTTCAACCTTCAAAATAGTGTTCAAAGTTATAAAGTTTTTATGTTTAAAGTGTTTAAAGTTTCATAATTATGTATTTGATGACCCACTGTTATAAGTAATCACATACTCTTCTCGATTCTTAAATAAGGTATTGGCTACAAAGAGATCGTATGCCTTAGAAAAATCCAAAACGGCTTCTCGCACCTCGTTTCTCTCCCCAAAAGCATGGTCAACATGAAAACTTTTATACTTGCCTGTCTCCTTACCCGCATGTCCATTGAAATCTCCTCCTATGAGAAACTTCTCCCCTTGAGATATTCCTTGAACCAGTTCTCTAAGATATTTCCAAAATTTCTCCTTCAGACTCCTATCCAACCTCACTTGAGGTGCATACACACTAATCACATTGATGAGTTCTTGTCCTATCACAATCTTGACTACTATAATTTGATCCCTTACCCTTCTAACATCTACAACATTTTTTGTAAGAGTCTTATCCACTTAATTTCCTGGAGGCACATCATGAAAATTTAAAATTAGCAATGTTTAATAATAAATTGATCATTAAAAAAATCCATGACAATCCACATAATTCTTTTTAAATCCATAATAAAAGTCTCACAAACTCCATTTAAATATCCAAGTAGAATTCAATCAAAATCCATAAGGATCTACGAAGTTAAGGAAACTCCCTCAAAATCTACGTATAGCTTTATGAAAATCCATTGAACTCTACATCAATACAGTTCCTAAGTTTTTTGTCTTTGCAAATACCTCTCTCCCTAGCTAATATTTTGATGAGTTTCGTCTTGGTTGCAAAATCCAACAAATTCTCTTGCCTATGTATTAAGGAAATATTTTTGTTCTCCACCTTATTGATTACTGTTGGATGAGTTTGATTTAATCTCTTACTACACAAATATCTAAATTTAAACTCGTCTAAGAAAATTTAATAGGGTGGTGAACACCACTTCCCTTAACAACTAACAATTTAATTCAATAACGCTATCGTTCGTAAAATGAAACTAATTTAAGGATATTCAATTGCTATTTTAAATAATTGTTTTAAATCTGAAGTAATAAATTAAAATTTTAAATGAATCTATAAAGTTACAAGTGCATTGAATTAGGATTTGGATTTAAAATAATTAAAACGCAAAGGATTTTGGTGGATTTAAATGGATTTCATTGGGTTTTTTTTAGGCTTTTAAAAAAATCACCTCCCTTTTAGAGAGAATTTACTCAAAAATCATATAGATTTCTTGGAAGTTCATTAAAACTCCATAAATTTATACCTCTTTTAAAATCTTTTGAAATCTCAATTAAGTACGCATGTTCGAGCAAGCCTATAAAGAGTAATATGAGCTTATCATGAGCTCTAACCCCCACCACCATGAGCTCCTTAATTGAACCTAAGAAGCTTCTTCACATAGCCTTATTTCCATGGCTGGCATTAGGTCAGATATACCATTTCTTGAGGTTGCCAAGCACATAGCTCGGAGGGGTCACAAAGTTTCCTTCATATCCACCCCAAGAAACATCCAACGCCTCCCCAAAATCCCACCAGACTTAATTCCTTGGATCAACTTAGTCCAAATCCCGCTACGGTGCGTCGAAAGCCTCCCGGAGAATGCAGAGGCCACCACGGACGTGCCATACCTAAAATTAGCTCATGACGGACTTGACCAAGGTATTTTTATTTCCTCCAAACTCACTGTGATTCCACTAGGGTTATTGCCACCAATGGATTTTGATCAATCCAGTGAAGAGAAAGAAGATAGCAACTGGCCCTTAATTTGTGAGTGGTTGGACAACCAAGAGAAACAGAATGTAGTTTATACACTGCACTCGGAAGGGAGTTTAATTTAAGTCAACAAGACTTCACTGAGTCGGCTCTTGGACTAGAGCTATCCGGGTTGCCCCTTTTTTTTGGGGTCCTTGGGAGGCCCGGTTGGTCAAAAGTTGCTGATTCCGTCAAGCTGCCGGAGGAGTTCGAGGACCGGGTCAAGGGTCGTGGGATTGTTTGGACAACTTGGGCAGCTCAACACAAAATCTTGGCTCACAAGGCAACCGGGGGATTCCTGACACACTGCGGTTGGAGTTCGCTCATAGAAGGACTACACTATGGTCGACCTCTTATCATGTTGCCCTTCTTATATGACCAAGGGTTAAACGCCAGGTTTTGGGACAAGAAGATTGGAATTGAGGTGCCAAGAAACGAAGACGATGGATCGTTTACGAAGAACTGGGTGGCTAAGTCACTGAATTTGGTTGTGGTGGATGAGGAAGGGAAGGCTTACAGGGATGGAGCCAAAGAATACAGTGCATTATTTGGAGATAAGGACCTCCATGATAGATACATGGACAAATGCGTGGAGCATTTGGAAAAGCATACATGAGGTTTGTACGTTTTTGCCCCGGAAAGAGGCCACCTTGTTGTGTGATTTGTATGCACTTTTATATTTTCTGAAATGAATTTTAGTATTATCAACTTAATTTTAGTATTTGTTTTGGTCTGATATTCTTAATATATCTAAAATCATAAAAACCTTGATAGCAATTTTTTATGGATTGAAAATCTTTTTTCAAGTATGTCGTTCTAGTAAGTCATAGGCATCTGAAAAAGAGTAAAAAGTTCTACAGTAAGGTTCACCCTCGCACTTAGGTTGTGCACATGATTTGCGCATGACCCGTATTAACAGTATAAATAGTACAATGACGACACACCATCTATATCCTATCAATATGGTGGGATACGTTATCAATAGACTATCTAGCTGAATCATGGGCGAATTAACCATGCGCATAACCCAGGTGCCCGAGTGAGCAGCCCTCAAAAGGCATCTAACCACTAGCAAGTTACTCTTTTCGGCCCTGTCCTATAAGGATTAGGAGAATGGTGGTTCCAATGTAGCTAAATCATCCGTGCAATCTCTTGCTTACATTCCACGGTTTTCCTACAACTGAGAATCCAAGGGAAAAGATCCCTTAAGGCTTTGATATTAACCTCTAATTAGGGACCGAAATTTGTGTTAACCAAAGTGTTCATGTTGTCTCTTTTGTGTTAACCTACTGAATTCTAGTCAACACTAACTGGTCCACCCAAATTAATCATTTTTAACGACTTCGAGTTAACCAAAATATTGTGAACTACAACTTTGAAATTGAACTCCCTTTGCTTCTTAACCAAAACTATCACTTATGCGTACGTATAAAACTATAAAAATAAGCGATTAAAAGAGAGGAACAATTTTCCAAACAATTGATGACCAAGATAAAAATGATAGAGCGAAAAGAAATTCATTAGCGTCAAGCAACGGTTAGCATACAAAGTGAGCTTTTACAACAGATGTAAGAAGGTACTGAGGGTCAGAACAGGTAGCAAGCACATAAGGTAGAAGTTTATACCGACTGTTCAGACGCAGCAAGTTATTTACTTGAGGGAGAGGTCAATCTATTTTCATCGGAGTCATGCTTTGATGAAGTATCTCCGCCCATCAATTCCTGGAATCCTTCCACCTTCACGGGTGGAGCCCTCAGAACACTCATGTTCCTGCACACATGAGCGAGTTCCAGAATGTCAGTGAAGCATTACTCGTATGGACAATTAATAATTTTATTCTTCAGATTTTCCTTACTGTGCTTGGACTTGAGGAATTTGGGAAGCCATCTGTCTAAATTGATTGCCCGACTGAGCGTGGACATTTGACATTGTAAGATTCGACATTGGAGGAATTTGCTGCTGCCTGAACTGCATCTGTGGATGTCTGCTATTGAAACTGTTGAAGGCATTACCATCCATGGGTAACTCTGATGGGGCTTCAATCTTGACCTGTACCATTGGTCTATCCTTCTCCATATCCATACCCGTGCGAGGAGTGGATGGTTGACGTCTTCGCATTCTTTCTAACTGCTGCTGCTGCTGTAAAGGCACGTTTTTGGAATGGGCAATTTGTTGCACCTGTGGATGCATTTGTCGGGCCTAACAATGTAATAAAAGAAACCATTATTAATAATATCGTACTATGCAAAGATCAACTTTTTCTTTTTCTTTTTTCTGAAAAAAGATCAGCATTTCGAAACTACAAAACCCCTACAACTCCATAAACTTCAGAAGCTATTTTGGGAAACTGAGGAAATACGTACAGCATCCCCACAGATAACCCATTAACAACAACAACAACAACAACAAAGCCTTTTCCCACTAAGTGGGGTCGGCTAACAGATAACCCATTAACGATCCATAAAATAACTTATACACAAGGATCGGGTTCAAATTGTAAAATTTATAAAGGAAACAATTGAAATTATCAATACTTGTTGGGGTAGTCGAATAAGATTCTGGTGCTGTGGCTGCAACTGAGACTGGATTCCGTGAATTTGCTGCTGAGTTTGCTGAAAATTCTTGGAGCCATCTTTGACTTGCTCCACCAGAGCACCAAAATTACTTGTGGAAAAAACAAAAACACGTAAGTAATGGATACACTAGAAACTTGAATTATTACATGATTAATTGGCACAAACACAATACAATGTTGATAATGGAAGGGAAGAGTTTAAATTGAAAGTCCAAACCTAACGTCCTTAGATTTCGCTCTGCCAGTCTCAAAGTCACAGACAAGCCCATTCTTAAAATTATGTTAACGGTCATAGCCCTTCTATTGTTAATTTACTTTAGTGCTAAAAATATATAATCGCCTTAACATTTACAGGGCATCTTCCATTATGAGATTATTCAGGATTGTTAAGTTCGGTCTCCTAGAGTCTGCTTGACTATGGTCACGGGCAGGGTGAAATTCCCCATAGCCTAAAAAAAAGGTTCAGTCTCCTAGATGAGTTCAGTACTATTTATTAGCTGCTAAGATGAGTGTCTGAAGCAAATTTCAAGTAAAATACTCTTAAAACCGTGATTAACACCCTGGAAGAAGTTCATCTGTATAAAGTGAGAAGGCAAAAAGGGAGCTTTCATGATTACAAAAAATGCCCCTCCCTTCTTGAAATTTTTAAAGAATGCAATTTAATTAAGAACGGACAAACTGTAAAATTCAAATCAAAACTACCTCACGTACAGGAGGAGTAGTTATCAACATCTATTTTTGTTTTTATTTTAATCTTTTAAACACATCCAAATTCAATTTTTAAAAATAAAATACAAAAGAGACAATTGCTACACTCGTAGGTGTGTGGCTAGAGGCTAGTTTAATCATTAATCCGGAGACTATAATATCATATTATTTTGATCAATCATTTTACCCTCTTTTCACCAGGAGAATTCATACCAGCTTAAGTAATAGATCATAAATAAATTAACACATGAACCAACAATGTGAAAGTAATTTTAAGAAAACTACCACTAGATAAGACTAAATCTCAACAAAAAAGAGAAAAGTGGTTTGTAAACTCACCCATATCCCACAGTTTGAAGGAACATCTTTAGCAGTTCAAGGGCTGAGCACTGCTTTCTGTAACTATCAGCAAGAAGTTTCAAGCTGCCACCCAACTTCAGGATATGGCAGCTTAGTAACTGAGAGAAAACATCAATTGGAACTTCTGTAGTACCTTCAAACCCAATATTTGTCATCATCCTAGCTACTACCTTTTGAGATAACTGTGTTGCTTGCTCTTGACTAAGACATTTTTTGTTCCCTCCAGAAGCATTTTTTCCGCGATGTAAGATTCCTCCTTGTTCCATGCTGAGGTATTCAGGCCTGATGCCAAGCCTCTCAAGCATAACGGGACTCCTAGTCATTATCTGAGGCAATGTATCAAGAACTCCATAACATTCCACTTTTTTGTTGTCACCCACTCTATTCAAAGGTGGAAGTGCACTATCAGGAACACAGTTGAATGTAAACATTGTTTCCGGGAAAAAAGATGTTTCACTATCAACTGAACCATCTAAAAGAGAACTTGGATTCATATGTGATGCATCTTGGATGGGATTTCCATATCCCATATTTGGATTTTCTTTGAAAGCTACTCGTCTTTTCTTATGACTCTCAAGAAGCTTAAGGTAAGCAGACATCTCCTCTGGGGTACGTTTCTCTGATTCTCGCTCCACCGAAGACAACCTATAGGGTTTGCTCATTCTATATCTCTCAATAAACTGATTATACCATGTTTCAGGCAGCTCTCCATTTTTGAATCTCAATGATATGTTATCAATTTCAGATTCTCCATATCTTGATCCAGCACCAAAAGCTGCTTTAGATTGAACCTGAAAACAGTCATACACTATAAATATATAACAATTCTCCAGTCTCCAAAGGTTCTGTTTCTAACTTTTTGCTTAAGTTTCCTTCCACGTTTCTTTTGACTTAAGTTCATAAGTTCAGTTCAATTTATAATTGTATCGCGGTTGGACTAGAATGTGGGCCTGTTTGGTACCCTTCTTGGGTCCCATTTTTTGTTTTAAAAAATAATGAATGCAGCTAAATTACTTAATACTTATTCGTCCAGAAACAAACAATTGGATCCAAAAAGGATACCAAACAACCCCTTAGATTCTAGAATTCATATTGTTTTGGGTACACCAGGTAATAAACTCCACCAACTGAATCGGCGCATTTTTAGATTCTAGAATTCATATTGTTTTGGGTACACCAGGTAATAAACTCCGCCAACTGAATTGGCGCATTTTTAGATTCTAGAATTCATATTGTTTTGGGTACACCAGGTAATAAACTTCGCCAACTGAATTGGCGCATTTTGCTAAATGATGAGGAGCTAATCACTTATGCATCCATACGAATTCTGCGAGATGAAATCTGAGGACATTTTTATAACCCATTTCCATTGAATTCTCAGTAACCAAGTTTTTGAAACACATGAAAGAAAACGTGGAATTCATATGCAAACGAGGTGAGTGAATTCCACATTTTCTTAAAAATGATTCCACACATACTTCACATAAAGAAAATTATAACGAAATTCGAAAATGCATAAACATACAAAATCCATGAACTAATTTCAGATTACTGCACTAACACATTCAGGGCACAATCAACGAAAGCTCGAAAATCATACCTTGGACGGCACCGAAGCGTCACGCTGTTGAACTTGAACCCCATCCTGAGACGAATTATCTAGAGTGAAGTAGACGTCGTCCGGGTGGAGCTGCAAATCTGCACACAAAAGCAATGGCAGCCATGAGAAGCCATGAAATTAAGCCGAAACGAAAGCAACGAGAGACTCAGAAACTCACAATTGGGATTGAGCTTGGAAACGGCGATTGAAGAAGAAGAGGAGGAGGTGGAGGAATTGGGGTGGAGGAAGAGGGAAACGCAGGCCTTATCGAAAAGAAGAGCTCGAGCGCGGAGTTGGAGATGGAGGTGAGGCCTAGATTTGGAGTCCATGAAAGCTTCCCAGGTTGAAGGGGAAATGAGGAAGGGGGCGAAGATGGCGTAGGTGGAATCGCCGAGCCATGTGCGCCAGACGTTGCAGGATTCGAGTTGGCAGGCGAGTTCGTAACCACGACCGTCGTCCCCAAGTAGAGCCATTTGGGGAAAGGAGAGAGGGA